CACGCATGCACGTGCGCTGAAATCTGATTGGCTTAAACTTTAAATGGTTATAACTCCCTTAGTTTTCAACGAAATAGGATGGTATTTAGAATATTGATAGACATAATGGACCCCTACAAGAAGGTATGGTCATCATGCACATGCTTGTAACGTGAAATGAGTAAATTAAAAATATGCTTGAATAAGTGTATTTTTTAATACTTCTGGATTTAATGCTTTGATATTAAGTCTATTTGAATATATATACATAGTGTAGAAAAGATGATATGATCATTACCCACATGCATTCAAATGAGCTCGCATGTCATGCTAAAATTTAAATATATTTCGTAGTCTTCTGGGAAAACATTGTTTAAGTCTAAATTGCACAAAGTATGTCTTATTTGATAGAGTTTAAGGAAATATGGCACCAAAAGGGAGTTGGGGAGCGTTTGGGGAACATCTGTAACGGTCCCCGTTACAATTAGCCCTAGTTTTTTTTTGTTAATTATTTTCATGTTATTGTGTTTTACTGCTTACCTCTTATAAAAGCTACACGTCGATCCAACATATCCGCACATACTCAATTGGCGACAGGTTGGAACTATATTGTGTTGGTCAAGATACAATATAACGTTCCGACATTGTTTACGTGAAGAAAATCAATTGAATGTCGCGCTACAAGACACCTTGCATTGTCTTGTCAGAAGATATGGCTGTACTGGCAGACAAACGGAACTACCATTAAGTTGCAGAACATTGTCAATGTACTGCTAATCTGTCGAACTGTCTTCAAAGAAAATATGCGGGTTTCGGGACCGCATCAGATCCCTTTTTAAAAAGTTCACTACATTTATTTTTGATGCAATCAATCTATATTTACATAATGCGATTGTTAACGTTTCAACAGGGACTTCTATACTACATGTATATATTTCACCAGGGACCTATATAGTACTGAGGTTCCTGATTTCACTCATATCTTTCGCTTCCCGTAAAGGTATTTTAATTACCTTACGCAGCTCTTATCACATTACATACCTTACAGTATTTGAATAAAAGAAAAATGCAACATTTTAAATATTCATCAGTTTAAGATGATTTACTGACTCGGTAAACAGCCGCAGCTTAACCGTTTATTGTGGTTATTTCCCATGCTAGAGCATAGAGCAGCGGCGATAGATGGCGCATCGTTCAAGCCAGGAATTTCTGGCTTAAGATGGCGGTAGTCAGCTGTCGTTTCGTACGAATGAGACAGGAAATGCCGTTCTAGACAGTGCTGTTGCAACCATTGTACAGTAGTTTGACGAAAAAGGGCCTTATGAGCAAAGGCGCCTAGGTACAATGTTTAGGTTTATATTTAGATGTTGAGTCTTACGTATTTGTGCAGTTCTAAACCGGTTACGCAAGTGCTGCAACCTTATGAAACGATCCCGAGGAGGCGTCGTCACCATGATCGACCAGTTCGAGGGCGATCAGAAGTAGTACCACTTTGTCTATGGCGTTTAGAGACGAGATATTGGGCTTTTCTGGGCATTCAGTGTTTTCGCAACATCACTATCGGTGTTCCCAGCCAACAGTGACTGCACGGACCTTTTGCGTGCATCGTTTGAGAACATAGGCATACTTAATGTAGTATGAAAATCAATTAATTTCTGTCACACTACTCTCACCAGGTACCAGAAAAATAACAAACGAGAACTCATGTGCACAAAATCGGTAAGAAAATAAAATAGGAAAAATAATGGAACAAAAAACTAAGAATAACAAGAAGGTTTTCCGCTTACGGCGAAAGACCATATAAATGTGTGAAATGCACGAAATAGAGCGGCGTCTACCCGTGCACGTGCTAGCCTGTATATTTATCGATACCTTGCTGACACGAAATTGTGTAGTGTTACCGAGTTCTATTATCTATAACATTGCTTGAGATTGTGTATGATATATACATGCGATTTTACATTGCTAATGATAAATTGTTAAAAATATTAACCAAACTTATGAATCTTTACGTTTAATTAATCTTTGCGTTTAATTTGCGTTTAAGTTCAATTATCTGGCGATTGTAGGATGCTTCTGGTCAGCAAATGGGCCTACCTTGAAAGGTCTCTATTAATTCTTGAAATTTAGTTAATCAAAAACGTTGACTGGAACTCATTGCTATGCTTTTTTCAGAACACTTGTAAAAATGGAATTTGTAAATTTAGCGACTTTCGATTTCGGAAAATGGGACGTTTCATAAAGTAAAATACATAACAATCAATCAATTTCAGACATAATAAAAGTATTCGACAATACAATGGACTTTTTCTCTTGTTGGTTTGCTTATCTTAGATCTTGTTTTCGCAATGGTCAAACTTTGCACATCTTGAACATTTGAAATATAAAGATATTTTCTCATTGTTTTAAAAAGCACTTGATTAAAAATAGTGCTCACAGCTTGCAAATGCTCACAATATGAAATGTCGGTGTCAAGCATCATCATTGATTTTTAGAATGTGCCATTTTCAGAATGTTCATTACCCTTTATTTGCCCATTTTCTTTCCTCAGTTCTACGCAGAGCAGATAATTCCTCCGCCATTTTAGGCATCAGAGACTCTGCAGAAGATTTTTAACTTCTTCACGTCATCTTTTTAATATATTCGATCAGTGCATACTATTAATGCAAGATATATTACTGTAGTCAGCGGCGGCTCACACAAATTGGTCCGACCAAAATAGTTCCATCATGATTAAGTAGATACAGTATTATTCTTCATGATAAGAGTGAAGTTGTGTATGTCATACGTTAAAGAAATCAAAAACAACGTCAAAATATTATTAGAAAATCACTTTCCCCCCGAAATGCAAATAAAAAATATCAATATTCCTACGCTCGCTCCCTCCTCAGCCTTTTTTTTCATGTTTGATAACAGAGAATATTTAGGTCATTCTTCGATTCATATCTTTTCACCGATGAATTGATAATACTATATCAACAATTGTATTAAGTACATGTTTATAATCCGTTAATTATCATACAATTTCTTCTTAAAGAAAAAAATAATCATTCTGTGTGTGTGTTTTATTAAATGACGGAATTTTCAAATTCTGCTCGTGTGTACACTTGGTAAACTGTAGGGTATAAAATGTGTAGCAAAACGAGAACTGGGTCGGAGATTCGGGTTCGTGTTGAAGTTCAGCATACCATTTCATATAGAACTTGAATTATGTAAGTAATTTCTGCGACGATTACATTAGTATATTTCAGTAATTTTCAAAACAAAAAAGGGTTTTCAGTTTAGAATTTTACCCGGTTGATTTTTAACCCGGCCATTTTAAACACAAGTTGTTGCAGATGCAAATGATAGAACAAACTATAGTTCAACCATGTCAACAGGGATTGTATAATTTTTATTAATCAGAATTCGTATTCATATGATCTAATTAAGAAAAGAAAAGTTTTGTCTGCCATCGTAACTTCTCGGCAAAACAAAACGTGTTTCTCCGAGCTCGCTGGATGCGTTTGACAACTCCATCGCACGTGTGTAGACCTAGGCTAATGTTGGTCTTGCGGACACAGGTATGTGTACTGTTTTTTAGGACACTGGGTGACCGTAATGCTACGGACTCACGAAATTTACACCAATTCCATAATTAGACTGCAGTTTTTTTTAAATTAAAGTCATTATAAACACTGTTAAACATCTTAAATCTAAAAGTCGAATATCTTTGGATATGGGGTAACCCATATCTATTCTTGTTACACCTTGATAACGAATAATTTCTAAAACATTTATTTTGCTGATTACATTTACCAAATGGTAATCATTTACAGTATTAGATGATCGACCATGTTGAAGTAATGGAGATATAATGATTAGATTGTGTCAAAAGTAGGCTTGCCGGAAAGATCGATATCGGATAAAGTGTATCGGTATACAATAATCTTCTGATGAAGTTTTCTTTCATGGAAATTAAAGTAATGTATAATATTTTTTGTGTAATAGGTCAAAGGTAAAACGTTTTTAAAGAAGAATATGAACATGTTAATACTGTTGAAAAAAAAAATTATACACACTCTTATACATGTACCACTGAATGAAATTTAACGAGCCTCTCACCGATTCTTTCGTACTTACTGTCGTTGTGCACATTTTATTTAACTCTTTTGATCCTACACATAGTTTGAGTTTCCCAAGCGAAACACGGACACTGCCATTCTTTCTATATTACTGAAAGGTACCATCACGTGTCCACAAATCCTCCTATACCACTGAATAAAGCTCAATGATGCTACATGCATAACATCAAGCATTATACTTTTTGATATGACAGTTGTTTCGAGTATCCATGAGCAAAACATATGGACTTCACCCAATCGCAACTTCTCGGGCCTTTCCGACTAGCGGAAAACAACCTCAAATGTATAAGGAAGACGCCATGACAACCCACTTTTCATGATCTTTGAATTAAATGCATGGAGACCTTTTATTTGTGGAAAATGGGATGTAACTTTATTCAATGAAATGATATTATACTTAAAATATACTGTAGAAGGGACTTATAAGTCCGTCTATCCTATACTTGCATAAACAGGAATTCGAAATGTATAAATTTTTAACATCGGGTGATGTTAATGCTTTTCCGACCTCTGACAGAAAAACCCGAGATGATGCGATTGGGACTTCGATCATCATTATGATCATACGAGGGATTTTATTTCGTGAGCTCAGTTCTCACAGTACCGCCGCTTCTATACATGTGCTTGTAATCACTATTAGCTTGCATTTCATAGTTAAGTTAATTTTGGAATTTAAGTTTATACTATGAAATTGAACATACCATTTTTATTGATCAATTATAGTTGTGTTATTTTTAAAATGATTTGAAATGGTAAAGACGAGTGACCACTGTTTAACCATATTTTTCAATCTCATTAGAAAAAAAATTACAGATGTCTTGTCTGTATTTAACTCGACTCAGCAGAATAAAATTATAAAACTACTCTACAAAAAATTGTTGAAAATTATTCATGTACCTCTTATTTGGCCTTCGGAATACCTCTGCAAAATGCTTACTTCTTCACTCTGGTAAGACAATAAAAAAATAAGTTTTTTACTAAATGTAATTTAGCTTGAGACTTGAATTTAATGATCATGATGAAATTAAAGTAAATAGTATAAGGAAGAGAATATTACCTGTGATCCAGACATAATATGATTCCGCTGTCGTCAGTCTGAAAATAAAACGGAAAGAACAGTAAACATAATGTTTGCTAACTTGGATGCTTAAATAAATAACCTTTCCAATTAAATCCTGCTCAAATTAACTGGTAGCATTTCCGTCATCTTTCAGGAATAAACAGGCCTGAAATATCCTTCGAAAATTCGATATTTCATATATAAATGCACGATAATACCCAATCATTACTGCGTTAATAGATTAAAATACTTTATAATATCGGCTTTAGTCACGAGTCGGCTATGAAGATGATGTGCATTGTAATTAAAAACAAATAGGAGCATCGGCTTTAATTTTAAAAGGACACCTTCACGTCTTCATATTGCTTATAGCTAAGCTGAAGTGAAAGATACATTCAGTTAATGAAAGTGCAGAAGCAGAATTAATACCTGTCAAGATCCATAAAGTTACTGTTTATTTGCTTTCTGACTGAATAAACATTTCAGAGTAATTGAATGTTCCGTCCGTAATTGCCTAAGAATTATTTTTGTGAAATCAATCTTGATCAGTGCTAATCAGAAAATACTCAAGCATCAAGGAGTTAAAATTTATAGACAAACTGATGATCACATGATCTTTCCTGGCTAATTCAAAATCCGTGTGACACCCGTTGCCCTAAAAAGTTTACTGAAATATGTAATGTAAATTTAAATCAAAATTTCACAAGATAGTAAATACAAACTACCAAAAATGCAAGTTTTACAATCTTTAAAATCAGAATTTGAGTCTCTCGACCTTGTGAAATGATTAAGTTAATATATGAAGTCGTCCACAGCCTCAGAATGAATTCCGATTGGTGATAGAGTGTACTAATATTTTAAAAAAGACCTGTTCCTCAAATGCAAACCACACTCCAAAGTTAAGGTTGAAGGGCCGATATTAATGTCACCGAGAGGGAGAGAGAACTTGTGTCAAATGAATTTAAATGTGGAATATGACATTCCAGGCACTGACCATTCAAAACATACGACTACGGGCAAGGTTGACGTGTTCCCAAGTTGGACAAGGTCTAAGGGTAAAAATTGATGCAGGGGAAGGTCTTGTCACAACAATTTATACATCCAAAATATATAGGTGCTAAAGCACCAACTGTTTAAAAACTATAGATAAGGTTAATTTTTTTTTACATTAAGGCCTAACTCTAATGTTAAATTAAGCAAATAAGTACTGTGTTCTATTGAGAATTAAAGCATTTATATGAATTACATGTACTTTCATACAGCCCGCGTGACGCAGTGGTAGAGCGTCTTCCCTAGAGTGGCGGAGTTCGGATTCCACCGTGTAAAGTTGACACTGGTCCTTCAGGTGAAACCGCATTGGTCCCGTGTCGCAGTAGATGCTGTCACGAAAAAAATCCCTCCATCCCACTGCTTAATGGTGCCGAGTATAGGCAAAAATTCTCTACCGGTAAATGGTGGCGTCTCCATATGAGTAAACAATTCTTGAGAGGGATGTTAAACAACAAACCCTTAATCAAAACGTAGCAAATCAATATACAAGTTAAAATTATATAATACATATTTTAGCTGGCGAGTGGGAAGAAATTCGTCGTCACTTTCGTGGTAGAGATGCTTCTGTTGCTCATGGAGCGAATGCCACCAGAGTCACTGCTAGTGCTTTTATAAACTGTCTTAGGTTGTGGTGTCTCGCCAGACATATATTTGAGGAAGAAAAATGCCATCCTCACAGCCATTCATGATGTTGTTAATCCCGAATTTCTTGAATGAATGGCACACAGTCTCTGTGGAAATTGAATCCCTGACGTCCTTGAACCACTGCGTCGCTTGACGTTTCCTCCGGCGTTAACGTTGCATTCTTTCTCTTTGTTCATCATCCACTATGTTCTTTGTTCATCATCCACTTTGTCTTGAACGGCTTATACTGGCACATGTCCTTTGGTTAAAGAACACTATTAAAACCGGCAGGAATCTTGGGTGACATGCATTTGTTCTGAAATTCCTTTACTTTGTCTGACAGGTAAATGTAGCAACGGGACATGGTCAACATTAGACTTATTAAGTTCAACATGATGTCAGGACATGTCCTGATATTCGCTGCAGCCACGTATCGTACAAATCATCGGTCATCCAATTTTTTTTTGTTCAAAAAAGAACACCAGACCGCAACTTCTCCTCGGGCTTGCTTTTGCGCTTGAAAATGACCATTGGCTTCATTTTTGTCCCTTTGGCCACTTCGCTGAGAACAAGCCATGTACAGCTCTCCACGCCTGTCGTTTTTTACAAACAGCCGTGTTTTTGCTCAAAAAGCAATTGTCGACTGAAATCATCCTGTTCCAGCAGGATGTTGACCCCACAGCCACCAACTTGGTAACATCTAACAAGAGGACCACAGGCCTTATAGGTGACCTGAGTATCAGGTAACATTGAATCAGTTTCACGATTAAATCTATGAAATTCAAAATTTAAGAAGAGGCACCCTAGCTCATCACCATACATTTAGTTTTAGTTACTTGATACCTACATGTAGAAGCAGAGGAGATGATTATCATAGAATTAATGGATTTTAATTTTCTTATCAGTAGACCCCTTGTCTAACTGAAACCTCTGATCCTGGAACTATACATTTTAATTTACCCCCGTTTCAAAGGAGAAAGGGTATACTGGTTTACCCTTGTTTGTCAGTCTGTCTGTGCGTAACAAATTTTTGGTCGCAGTTTTCTCATTAACTAATAATTGCAGATGCTTGAAATTTTAACATAATCTTCTCTGAGGCATGCCATATGGTGGGATATAATGTTTTATTATACCCCCGTTTCGAGGGAGAGGGTATACCGTTTTACCCTCGTGTGTCCGTCCGTCTGTCTGTTTTCGTCTCTGTTTTCGCATCAACTACTCATCGCAAATGCTTGAAATTTTAACACAATTTTCTCTGAGGCATGCAATATGGTAGGATATATTTTTGTTGCAATTCAATGTCAACTTTCTGTTCATCCGTGTGCGTCTGCCCATTTCATACATAAACAAGAGGCAAATGGGCCTTATAGGTCATCTGAGCATCATGGTTCATGTTTTAAGCTAGATGCTATGGCATTCACAATTTTGAAAGATGCACCATTGCCAATCATATCTATACAATTAGCATACCCATAGGCAGGGTAGGGTAACACAAAATGCATTTCAACTAATCAGTAATATTCAGTAATAATCAGAAGTGCCCCTACCACACATGAACCCCTAACCCTAGGTCAACACATTGCACAATTTTTATACCCCACGCAAAAGGTTGCGTGATGTATAATGTTTTTGACCTGTCCATCAGTCAGTCCGTCAGTCCTGTTTTTCTGTCAGCGCAACTCCTCATAAACCGCTGCACAGAATTTATATCTCAATTTGAATACAGAGATGAACAGTTTCATTTTTTTTCGTAAACAGCGATTTTTAAGCTTAAATAAGGTAATTCCAAAGAAATCCGCTCCCTGTAGATCCTTAATCTTACTGGCTGTCCCAAAATAAAATCTGTCAAGGTCAGTAAACATGGCGGATAAATTTAAGTTGTGAAGTTGGCATACACGAAAAATACGGATATATGAATTGTTCTGTACATTTTTGGATTGATTTATGTCTGGGATAACTACACTTTGGAAGTCCAGGTAAGACATATAAATTAATTGGCCGTTTACTGACAATTTGAGCCGAAATCCGTGCGGGAATGAATCCCGCTTTGCAAAAGTACGGAAATCCTAAGGAGTTATAGCCCCCCCCCCCCCGAAAAGGGAGAGGGCTACATTATTGCAGCTTGGCTCAAATGAACTTTTCTGATCACATTTTGTCCGTCTGTCTCTAAACTTTCACATTGTTGACTTCTTCTCAAGAACCACTGGTCCAATTTTAACCAAATTTGGTACAAAGCATACTTGGGTGAAGAGGAGTTAAAAGGAAGGGCCAAGTTCCCTTACAAGGGGAGAAAATCAAGAAAAGAAAAAAAAGGTGACATTGGGGTCATTAAAAATCTTCTCAAGAACCACTGGGCAAGGGTAGCTGAAATATTAGAGGAAGCATCCTTGGGTAGTGTAAATTCTAAATTGTTAAAATCATGACCCAAGGGGTAGGGCCCCATTATAGGGACTCCAAGTTTTACATAGAAATATATAGGAAAAGTCTATTAAAATCTTCTTTTAAAAAACACTTGGACAGAAAAGCTGAAATTTTTGTTGAAGCAGCTTGGGGTAATCTAGATTCAAAATTGTTAAAAGCATGCCCCCGGGGGTAGGGAGGGACCACAATAAGTTTTAGGAAAATCTTTAAAAATCTTCTAATCTTTAGAAAGAACTACTGGGTCAGTAAAGCTGAAACTTGTATATGTAAGCATCCTGGGGTAGTAAAAATTCTATATTATTAAAATCATGACCCCGGGGGTAGAGTGGGGACACAATGGGGAATCCAAGAGCTGAAACTTACGTGGAGGCATCCTTGGGTAGTGTAAATTTTAAATTGTTAAAAAAAAAAGACTCCTGGGGTAGGGTGGGGCTGCAATAGGGAATCCAAGTTTTACATAGAAAGATATAGGAAATATCTTTTTCACAAAAACCACTGAGTCAGGAAAGCTGAAACTTATGTGGAAGCATCCTGGGTTAGTGTAGATTCTAAAGTATTAAAATCATGACAGGGGATAGGGGCCACAATAGGTATAACAAGGGAAATCGGGGAAAGAACTGCATCGCCCGTTACTCAGGTGAGCGATATGGCCCATGGGCCTCTTGATTTATATATTTATTTACGTTATTTATGTTGTAAGAACTGTTATCTACATGTGGCTTATCTTTTTTGATTTATGTATTTTTGCCCCCTCCCCCTTTTCGAAGAAGGGGGGTCATATTGCTTTGCTGCTGTCGGTCCACTAAGTTTCCATTCATTTCCTTCACAACCGTTGCATATACGGAAATGAAATTTGGTATGCAGATTTATCAGATGAATATCTAGGTCAAATTGTGTTTTGGGTACGAACGCGCCAACCCTGACAGAGTTATGCCCCTTGGACTTAGAAAAATTCCAGTTATTTGCAGTTTCCGTTCATTTTCTTCGCAGATGTTGCACATACTGAAATGAAATTTGTTATACAGATTTATCAGATAAATATCTAGGCCAAATTCTGGTTTAGGTAAGCGCCATTCTTGACGGAGTTCTGCCCCTTGGACTTAGAAAAATTCCAATTTGGGGGAGTGGGGCATATACAAGTGTTTTACATCCCTTGTTATTAATAAGGTTAATGATGTTGTAAAAACTGTTATTTACATTCATCAAAAGTACAGATCAACATCGCAATCAGGGAATAAATGACACATGCTTCAAAACGAGTGAGAAAAAAACACCCATTTAACAGATGTACGTACATGTGATGCATCTGTAATTTTTATGTTCTATTCGTGTTACAAGATTTAACACGAGTCACTTAAAATATTATAATAAAGGATTTAGGTCAAAATGTCCTGCATTGTTTTTCTCCTATGAAACAGAATTTGGAAATTAAACGCCAAAATCAAAGGACTGAATGGTCAATGAAATAAGATTAATACCACTAAGCGGAGCATCCCCTTACGGAAGGAGATCAACAAAAATTTCCGACATCAAAATTGTAGCTCATATTGCTTAAACGTTCCTCTCGAAATTTTTCACTAATCGCCACTGGCCGATGGAAAGCTGCTTTAGTCCTTTACTAGGCACGTATAGCCAGTGAGCAGTGAGGGATCTTATTTGTGCCAGCACCTCATGCGACATGGTACCTCGGTTTACACGGTTTCATCCAACGAACCAGTCTCCAGTCCGAACTCAAGAGTAAATTTCATGTTATGAACAGACACCTGTGGAGAATTAGTACTGAAACCGCGACATTCATTATATTATTTCAACATCCCTTTTCACACACTATGAACTTAATGTTCGAGGACCTTCTATCTGTGGAGTATGGAGTTCAACCTTATTACATAAGAAGAAATCACCTATATTATGCTATAGAGGGGACATTTAACTTCGTGTATCCTATATCTAAAAAAACAGGAAGATGTAACTTTTATCATCCGGTAATGTTTATACATTCGAGGTTGTTTTTTCGGCCCAAGATGATGCGCTTGTGTCAAATCGACCCGAATTTACCCAAGATGATTTAAAGCGGAAGTGAGTATTGTCAAGGTGAACATAAAATTTCAGTCTATCCCCCGAATTAGCAGAGGTGAGTATAGTCAAGTCATACATAAAATGAATAACTTCCTCTTACAATTCCACATACGTATGTGGAAGTTGAGAATTTATAGACATTGAAAATGTGTTCTTATCTTCCCCACAAGCTGTAACGGACATTTACACACACGCACAGTAGCGATGTTATAACCCCTCCGCAAATACTTGCGCGAGGAATAATTACAGCTCAACAAACTTTTTAAGCTCACATGGTTTTTCGCACAAATTAAGGTCACATTGATATAGAGTAATAGTGTGTATCGAGACAACAAAATACATTTTAAAAGTATTTGTTTACATAATTTGAGTTTTATTTCACTTACTGAAATATAATTGACAAAAATCAATCGGTAGAACTTTGACATTTTCATGGCTGAAAAATAACAACTATTCTCATTTGAATTTTTGTGGTTTCTTGCCAATTGCAACTGTCTTTTTATCCGTTCTTTTGAAAGCAATAGCTCTTTTCAGAAACGTAGACATGGGTACAGTACAGCTACTGTAACTTGTATTTTCTGTACATTTTGACTCTTTAACTCAGGGTGGTAATAGTATTTTTCATATGTTTGACTGCTTTCTATGTTATTAAGGTGGGATTTTTCAGAGTCAACTTCTAAAATCTAGAATCATGAGAGATTCATCCCACTGCAAAATTCTAACCTTTCATACCGTAAATGCAGAGGAATTTTCCTTTTCATTGAAGGAATTTACTATATAAAAAATTAAACAATACTTCATCATCCTACCCTTTAGTGTGGTTCTCTTCTGCAATGTTATCCCTTTTCGGCACTACATGTCGACAAAACCAAGAGGAGTATGGTAAATGAGCAAAGATTTTTAAAAAACACTCACCTTGAAGAAGAAAATTTAAAATTTTCAACTACGTTGTATCAAGGAAAGCTCGTTTTATACGATTTGTAAAAACCTATGGTAGAATGGTATACTCGAAACATCCTATCATTTATTCATAAGTTTCCCTTTAAAACATCCACTTTGGAAACTTAAGATAATGATTTGAAAAGACATTTATGCTTGACATTATATATGTAATATAACGAAGGGATATGTTTTTGTACTGCAGTTCAAAAATGTTATTTTTTATTACAACAATGTGACCTTAATTTGTGCGAAAAACCATGTGAGCTTAAAAAGTTTGTATAACCTAAAGTTATTAACCAGAGAGGGTCGAGATCGATTAATACAAATTCGGATATCCTGTTAAAAATAATAAATTTCCTGTCACATATTAAGCTGTTATACTGTCATAGGTATTCAGATAATAAGAAATGAGGTTGGTCATTTTGGTGTTTGAATATCATCGATCTCTCTATTGCGCACGGGAACTGTTTGTACTTTTATGGACCGGTCTGTTCATCCAGCTGTTTGATTTGAACCCGCGGCGTGAGCATCAATTACTTACTTTCTGATTACCTTGAAAAAGGCCCTAACCAGCGCTACGTATGAAAAGATGTAATTAAAGTCTTAGAGAAACATTGATCGTGTCCTTATCCATTTGAGACGTCAATTCCCTCGGATTTTGACTGTATGTATTTCACAGCTATTTTTCATAAAAAACAAACTAGCCCACATACATTTGGAAACTAATTAATGCGTACGTTTAATAAAGTGCAAAATTTTATAAGTCGTACGCTTTCGATACTCTTTGAATGAGTATGAAGGTTTGCGACTAAAATGATGATGACGTCCCTCTAGAGATTTTTTCACACATATGAAGTCGCTACTACTTGCCGGTGGAGAGCTGCAAATTTTGTCATGCTCTTCACTCGATGCCATTGAGCAGTGAGGGATCTTTTTCTGCCAGCACCTACTGCGACTCGAGACCTCAGTTTATACAGTCTCACTTGAAGGACCGGTCTCCACGTTCCACAGTGGAATTCAAACCTACGACGTAAGAATCTACTCCTTACTTCGTGACTCTAGAGCAGACGCTCTAACCACTGCTCTACGCAAGCGACTAGAGTTTTTAAATGTACTTACAATTCTAGACAGTTCGATTGACTCGGGAAAAAAAAAGTGGTTTCGATGACATTCTCTATTCTTTAATTTCTGGACCTTTGAAGCTGATAAGGGAGATAACTTTCCAACCAAGCTATCCAATGGTGTTTCTTTTTCTTAATAAAAAAAAGAAGTCAAGTGAAACTGTGCAAATGCAGTTCTGATGGTATTGCGGATATTATCCGAGTATAAGGCAAAATAAAACCCCTTTATTACGATTGTAGAAACACTGAACTTGCTTTTTGATAGATCGAAATGGAAAGAGCATCATTTGTAGAAAAGTCCTATATGATATTCACAAAGTTTCAGAAAAAATCCATTAGATGCCGAAGATCGATAAAAGTAACGACAGCTCCGCCAAATGCAATAGCCAATTAAATGATGGCAGGAGCTGCCTTGATCTTGCAAACCAGACGAGCTATTCAATAATAGATTACGGAAATCTGCATTCATGAAATATTAAAAAGATGTTTTATCGCAGAATCAACCTTATGAAAGGAAGTATTTACCATGCATATCGTGCACAATTTAGTATTAAACGTTAAGCTTGAGGAAGTATATAAATTCAAAAGAAGTCGTTGCCCGCGTGGCGCAGTGGAAAGACCATCTGCTCTAGAGTCGGAGGGTTAATAGTAAATCCTTGCGTCTTGGTTTCGAATCCCACCGTATGGGACTTTGAAGCCGATCTTTCAGATTAGACCGTATTAAACGAGGTACCTTGTCGCAGTATGTTCTGGCAAGAGAAAGATCCCTCATTATTTCCATGCCTTTTGTCTTGTACCTAGTTTTACATGCTAATGAACATTTTCGGAATCTCGGACACCAGATCGTACATATGTACATGTACTACGGTCAGTATCGTCCTTCTCGAATAGTTTTCACTCGAATGGAGACGCCGACACTTGCGGTGTAGAGCCAAAATTTTATACCTACGCTCGGTACTCGCTAAACAACAAACGAGCACAAATTTGAAGTAACATAGAAAACAAACATTAACTTTTCACACATCATGGAAATATATATACCTTTTCATTGCACATTAACATGAAGGATATCAACGTCGAAAAGAAGTGACTGGCCGTGTGATTTCCAGTCTTAAAAAAAAGGAAGAAAAAGACTTACAAGGTTCACTGGGAATGGAAAACTATTCCGTCAATACACTAATTCGCACTTATGTTGAATTTTAAAACTACCTTTTATCCGTTACCATCGACCGAACTGCCTTGTGGCAATCGAGTTTGAGATTGAAATAAAAAAAAATAAGACGGAACAGTCACCATAATTAGATGCACGGCCAACAGTTAATCAATCTAAGGATAGAGCCGAACAAATACAATAACAAGTTTGCCGTTTTCCGTTCAATACTTGTACAATGAATTCACTACCAGATGATGTAGAGTGTTCAATAATCCGTACATACATTTACTCCGTTCAAGCAAGTAAAGTGCTTTTGACTTCTAATTCTTCTTTATGATGCGTGTTTTCAATTAGAAAGCGGGTCACGTCAAATTTCTTTTTATTATATTTTTTATAGTTCACATAATTTATTTAACAATTGCATATCGAATAGTGTCTCTGTTTTCAGTTTAAGGATAACGAAGGAATAGAAACTGGCTTAAAGTCTAAAGATTATCACCGAATACATTAGCTAAGTTATAATTAACGATTCTACGTAGTTTCGTCAAAAACTCAATTTCACAAGTCATTTTTGTATAGACTTATTCAATACCTCTCTATGCAGGCACGTAGTAACAGGAGGGGGGGGGGCATTTTTTTCCCAACATTACTAGTATTTTACTATTGGAAATGCTCATTGAAAGGCTGGTTGGCCCCCTCACATTGTACGACAGGAAACTGATAACAGAGAATTCCAACTGAATTCCAAACAAGCTAATTCAGAGAATTCGTGTCCCCCGCTTAGGGAAAAAGTCGGCTCCCCCTGACTGAATTTGTAGAATTATTAAATGTATACATGTATACTGAAGGAAATAAAATACATGTATGTCAATATGCATATAAAGATTTGATTGCTTATTCTTTATTATGTGTATAGATTTTTTCATATGGAATATTTATCACACTGTAATGATGATTTTATAACCTCAAATTTTTCATTTCACATGTTGAATACTATCATTTAGTAAAAAAAAAAAGTATTTAAAAAAAAGAAAAGAAAAAAAGAACGGTCCGACCGAGATTCGATCCCGGGACCTCTCACATTTGAAGCGAGAGACATAACCGCTTGACCACGGAGTCGCTTTACCCGGAGTGAAGTATATGCAGAACTGTAGTCACATACATGTATATATTCATGTTTCCATGTTCGGTATTCTCAAAATTTTACACAATCCCTAGTGTTTGATTTATTTAGCCTTTATTAAACAGTTCTAATAGATGTATTAAGAACATAAAGTCCGCCGAGAACCTGTTTTATACGTAATAACTCTTCTCATGCCCCTGCGCTAAAAATAGCGACATGTAATACTATAAATACTAATAAAACAAACGGGGCGGGGCACTTTGAGAGGGGCGAAAGACGTCCTAGGGAGTTTTGGTATAAATTACATTGCATAAGCTCAAAATCTTCTTGAAATATCGCCCGGAAATGATAGTGTTACACACTGAATGTATAAATTTACGACATTGAACTTTGACCTTTTGACCTTAAAATCAATAGGGGTCTTCATTAGGCCACAGGGAGTTGTTATTTAAAATTTCATTGCAATAGCTCAAATGGTTCTAGAGATATCGTGTGGAAACGAAAGTGTTTTAACAGACAGAATTTGCTTATTTATGACCTTGACCTTTCACCTTTTGACCTCAAAATCAATAAATAGGGAGTTGCTATGCTAAATTTCATTGCAAAAGCGAGATATCGTGTGGAAACGAAAGCGTTGACGGACGGACGGACAAACCCAAATTAATATCCCCCACTTTTCAAGCGGGGGACAAAAATCGGTACTGAAAGAAGTTGGCACTTAAAAAGTTGGCCTCTAACCCCCCCCCCCCTTCCACGAAGTAGGATTTTCGAGTTTGGGCAATCGTCCTTTTTAGGTCACCTGAGTAAACTCAGGTGACCTATTGCTATCTGTTTTCGTCCGTCGTCGTGCGTCGTGTGTCGTGTGTTAACATTTGTACATTTTCAGCTTCTTCTCTGCAACCACTGAACCAATTTCAGCTAAATTTGGCACAAAGCATCTATGGTTGAAGGGGAACAAAAATTGTGAATTTCATGATCCCTGCCCCCCTGAGGGGTGGGGCCAAAACCACTTAAATTTATGCAATCTTTAAAAATCTTCTTCTTTACTCCTAGACATCAAGCAGTCAAACTGTTTTCATGATTGTAATCAGCAATGAGTCCTCTACCAAAATTGTGAAATTCATGGCCCCTGGGGTCAGGGGTTCTAGTGCTAGGGCGGGGCTAAATAAGTATGTAGTGAAAATGCATTATTTCTTTGAAAATCTTCTTCTCTGCTCCTGGGTATTAAATAAACCAACTAAGTACATAGTTATGATGAGCAAGAGTGCCTCTACCAAAATTGTGAATTTTATGGCCCCAGGGTCAGGGGTTCTGGTGTTAGGGCGGGGCTTTATTGATTATATAGTGAAAATACATGAATTCTTTGAAAATCTTCTTCTCTGCTCCTCGGTATTAAATAAACTAACTAAGTACATAGTTATGATGAGCAAAAGTGCCTCTACCAAAATTATGAATTTTATGGCCCCAGGGTCAGGGGTTCTTGTTTTAGGGTGGGGCTCTAATGATTATATAGTGAAATGCATGAATTCTTTGAACATCTTATCTTTTGCTCCTGGTTAATATACTAATGATCTAATTAAATATTTAAAGCCAGGATTTATTTTATTATCAGTTTTACAAACCCTCCGCTCAAGGTTTTGAATTTTCAGAAAAAATAAAACAATTTTTTTCTTTCCGATGTCAAATTTGAGTCGGGATCGAGATTTCAAATTTACGAACTCGCACTTCCGGTTTTAAGATGAAACGGCGGGTAATAAAGCTAGATCTGAGAAGATAGTTTGGTTTAGTGTAAAATTCATCGATACGAGTGCCATTCAAAACGTTTCACCCGTTCAAAGGACAAATAAAATGCTGACGACTTTGTTGCACAATGACATGCTGGTGAGTAATTATGTATTCGTTTCAAAAGTATCTGTCTGTAAATTATTTTCCTCCCCCAGGTTTTAAACTGCCCGTGGTAGCTATTGCATATTGCCAGCGACATTGTTTAGGTCTCTGTTATAGCTTACAGTCTAAGCATCATTCTTCAGAAAAGGGTTGCTTATGCATCAGATGTAATGAATAAAACTATGGGAGAAGTTAAGTCCATTTGAGGAAGAAATAAACAATAACCTGAAGAAATAAAAAAAAAATTCAACTATTAAAAGGCAAGAACATACAAATATATACAGGCATGTAGTATCATTTGTTTCAGCCAGAAAAATTATTTTACACTTAATTGAAAAAATGTTCACCCTACTCACCAATACTCCCTGTCTGTTTTATGATAGGAATTAATATGTTTTACGGTGTGACCGTTGGGGCGAGCGCAGTTATGTTCTATCATAAACCTACATGTGTACTGCCTATCATTCAAGGAAAAGAAAACAAAAAAGAAGAAAACAAAGCAATAAAAAGAAATCACTTCCCAAGCATCGGGATCGAGGTTCCGAACTTCTCGGAAGTTTCCGACAAAATCGGAAATACCCGAACCGTTAAAGTGATGAAAGTATGACGTCAGATAAAAAGTCTTGTTTATTTAGGACGCAAACGATAGTTTTGTGGCATGGAGATTGCATTAAATCATTGTTTGTAATTTTTTTCAAGTAAGTTGTTGCTATGTTTTAGCCACCATGTTGCTATGCACCGCAAAGGATTATTGGGAATTTGGAATTTTTTCACGTGGACTCATTAAAATTTCTTGGAACAATGTGCAGATTTCAACCTGAATTTCTTCTTTTCGTACACGTTAGTCTATTGAGCTCGCTACGCGAGCGGCGCTTTGCGCGGCCTAGCTGCGCTCGCTATAATTTTAGGCATCAAGTAAATTTTAGAACAATGTCTACACATTCACCTAACACATATTAAAAAAATGAAGATATATTGAAAGTTTTTTAAAGAATTGATTTTTAAAAATATATTTTGACCAACATCACAAAAATTATATAACTGGCCCAAACTGGCAGATGATGAAATAAGCAATTAAATGTTCTACTTTCCTATTTGTAAGCATTATGTGTCCAGTGGTAAGGAGCCTATTAGAATAGCATAAAAAAAAGAATGTACAAATGTTAATAACTGATTTATCAAAAAAAAAATTTATTTCCTTCTCCTTCGGGACTTATTTATTCTCATGTTCATAACTAAACCTAAGCATAAAAAAAAAGGTTGGCCTTATAATGAAGAAAGGGGCCTCTTTCAAAATAGATAATTTCAGGGCCGCTGGATCAGGGGTACCAGGGGGGTACTTTGACTAAAAATAAATTAATGCTTTGAAATCTGCCCTTTGATAAGTAATGGTGCCTCCTTCAAAATTTGTGAGTTTCATAGCTATTGGATTAAAACACGAACCAAATACAATCGCTGGAAAGTTGTTACATGATACTCAGGTGACCTATAAGGCCCGTGGGCCTCTTGGTTTTTTTTTTGCTTGTCAACTTTTACAGGTAAGTCAAAAAAAATTCTCTGACTGGCCCACTTACTTTCAATAACGATGCTACGTGGCTGCGATGCACCATAAAAGTCACTGGGATCAATGACATACATGTAACGGAAGATGTACCTGTGATCTTTCAAGTCCACACATTAATGTTGACTACATTGGTCGGTAAATGATCATTCTGACGGCACACATGAAGAAAACAATGAAAGGATACGAGTTAAGGAAAGCGTATTAAACCCCCACTTGTTCTTAAATGATGGCAAAGTTTACTGACTTAAATTCTCGAAGAAACCCCCACCTGTCCAGTAATTTAAATTTTGTACGAATGTATGCCATTACCTTTTAGTTTTGTGCAGTAGTTTGTGTATGTGTAAGAATATGTGACGTTTAAAAAGGGATGAGTTGTTTCTGTCATTTTAAATTGAATTTAAACAAAATAAGATTAACACCACTCATGGCGTTTAATGTCACAATATTCATTCCTTGATTTCTGTAGAGCAAAATGTTTTTCATGTTATTGAGTATTCATTGTATTCTTATGTCCTATTTGACCCTTGATAATTTTCCATTTGACCTCATAATCTACAAT